GATATATTTTAAGTTAAGATTATTTGTTTTTATAAATTATTAATTGATAATTTAATTTACATTTTATAATAACATATTTATTGTTTACAAAAATGAAAATATTGTTTACCAAACATTTGAGAATTAATTTTTGAGTTGATTTTTTGTTAATGTTAAAAATTAAAAATAGTAAAATAGAAAAAAATAGATATAATAATTCAAATGTAATAGTTGCATATGTTTTGTGCCTTGGGCTTTAATAGAAAATAGTAATAATGAATTTTTACATGTATTAATTTGTAAAACTCCATATAATTTGTGCCTTGGACTCTTGATTGATGCATTATCAATAAAATTACATAATATCTATGCATCACGTTGTATTAATTGTAATATATTTTTTCATATATACCATTCCTATGTATCTATAGTTATTTTAATATTAAACTTATTGTTAATAATATTTATGGAATTTGTATGCATTTTCCTACTGTATCCAAGCGTTTCCATATTTTTCATGTGTATCCATGCGTTTCCCAAGCATATCCGTATCCAAGTTGTCAGATATGATACCCAATACTGATACTTTAATCATTGGCTATGACACATGGTCTTTTAGAACCATTGTGGTTGTGCTCACTACTTGAAAAGTTAGGAGTAGTTTGTAGTATGCCTCTTGTACAAGGCTAGTAGTTTGGAGCACAATAGACATATATGCCCAGCTTGAGTGGGAGTGTTGAGAATGATCACAGCTTATTCTTTTTTTTTAGATAAGTAAACAAAGTATTTATTGAATCTCAATGAGAACAGGCATTACAAGCTTCCCATGGAGAGGCACAAGGTGCTACCTCTCACACAAAAACTTTAATAGGATAGGCTTATACCTTTTATTATTGTTTAATCATATATACACGGTACTGTATATATGTCAAATAGAGGAGAATGAGAGATGCCGCTAACTTTTGGCATACAGATATTTTAGTAGCTAAAAGGTGCAAGATACAAACTCACTATTTTGAAATATTCATGAAACATCTAATATGACCAATCATGGGGGAATGGAAGGAAAGGCAGAGAAACAAAAACTACAGAGGAAAAGTAAATTTACGGAATTTGAGCTCCATTGTCTTGTGTTCTAGGTGCCAAGATTTTAATCAGTGGAGATAGATCCTTCTGAACAAAAAGTTAAGCTCAACAAATCAGAATAGTCTCTATAATAATGGCAGTAGATACAAGATTTGTGCTTTTATGCAGAAGAAAAACATCACCTGGATATCATCCATGCTGGCATTAGAGTGCCTGGCATCTAACAAAACCTTGATTAAAAATTAGAAAAGTTACTCAAGTGCTGCAATGCATAATATCATAACAGAGAAACTTCAGAGCATATCTTATAGTTCAGCTGTATAAGAGATACCATGATAAGACGAGCAGATTTTGAGCTTTCAACTACCACCCATTGTCCTTCTTCGGAAGAGAAGAGCCATTCATGAGCCCGGTTCTGCAATTAATAGTTGAGTTACATATCTCAAGCAGATGGCCATAAGATAGATAACCAATTTGAGGATGATGACTTCAAGCCACAATAAAAATATACACAATCAGAGTACTTCTGACTTTGTATTTAAAATTTTGAAGAATTTTTAGTATTTAAAATTTAAAAATCCCAGTAKGACATAATGCTGTTTGTATATGTATTTTTGGTATGTGATTTTGTCGGTTAAAGTTCTGAGGCGTTGTCCTTTAGCTTCTATCCAGCAGAGCAATTCCCCCTTCTCTGTTTCATTCCCCTTTTCTTTAAATGCTTTCCCTTCTATTCCTGCAGTTTTTTTACTTCAGGAAAGGTGATTCAGAAAAATCTAGCATAGTGGGGAAGTGGTTATGACAGTAGCCTTTGGAGAGAGAGGTTATGGCATGAAGTGGTCAGAAGCATTCATGGCAATTCAGAGAATGGGTGGGATGTTAGTGTATCAAGGTGGGCTACTTACACCTTGAAAAACCATTCACAGTGTTCTTCCTCAGTTTCTCAGGTATGTCAGGAATGAACTTTTCCCCTCACTTTTCTCTATCTCTTTGTATAAGAATGAGCTTATTTCAARCCTTCTCTCACTTAAGGGAACTCCCTTGGCTCCAAATTGGGATTTTGGCTTTCGCAAGGGGTTAAGGGATGAGGAAATTGATTCTCTCTCTGATTTGCTTTGTTTTAGATCCTTCTAAGCCAGACAACAAGATTTGGGTTCCCAGGCCCAAATGGACCTTCACTTATGCTTCTTTTCTTAAGTCCCTTTGTCAATTTTCCCTTCAAAGCAAAATTTGGTGCAGGCCAGTTCCCCCTAAAAGATAATGGCTTTTTGTTGGGAAGTGTATCATGGGAAAGTGAACACTTTAGATAAACCTACAAAAGAGAAGACCTTTCCTTTGTATTTCACCCATATTGATGTCTTGTCCTTTTTTCTGCAGAATAATGGGATTGGCTTTTTTTGTCGGTTGGGTGCAGGTGGAACATGCCAGCAGAAGTGTGCATGATCTTTAACCTTTCTACCTTCAGTTGGCCCAAAAAAAAGACAGAGAATTATGTGGAGATGTGCTAGAGCAGCCTTGCTATGGACAATCTGGGAAGAAAGGAACACCAGAATTTTCAAAGAGAAAGAGAAGAGTAGCCAAGATGTAAAGGAGTGTGTGTTGAATAGGGTAATTCATTGGTTAAAGACCTTAGAAYTATTCCATCATTTCTCCTATTCAGATATATGGAGAAATTGGTCAACAGTAGCAAGGTGCTCGTCTAGGAAGACCAAGGCAGTTACAAGATGGACTCGACCGCCTGAAGGCTCACTAAAGATGAACTTTGATGGGAGTAGTCAGGACAATCCAACGCGTTCTGGAATGGGGGGTCTGTCTTCCCATCCATCTTCCCAAGAAATATAATAATCAACGACAARGAATAACAAGGTGAAATCTAGCTTAATTTTATTCTAGAAATGTACTGATCAAAAAAAAAGTTCTAGGAATCCATACATCCTTGCCCCAAGCAATTGAAGATAATACTTCCAAACTGAAGCTTCAAAACCATATCAAGATCAGAGTCATACAAGAATGGATCAGATTGTTGGACTGCATGGTTCGTGCAGAAAAGCAAAAGGGACGTTCAATAAAGATAGGGAAAAATAAAGCATACTGACCTTAGGCACAAGAAAAACACCACAGTGATATAAGAATGGATCATACTGTTGTTTAGCATCCAAAAGCACAGCTTTATAACTGAAATGRGAATTTCCCACTTCACCCAAAGTAAGCTGGATTCTGCGACCTGGGAGAAGTTCCTTCAAATCTCCTTTAGCTCCTAGCTGCAGATCTTCAAGAGTGTACAGAACATCAACACCATTG